GATCATCCAGAAGGCTCTAGTAGCTATACAGGCTATCCCTCCAGAACGGGTAATCTAGTCCAATGGTTCAGGATTGGAAAATAGTAAAGCTGGAGCAGGAATTACATGGCAAGACCCAGCGAAGAAATAGAAGACTGGAGGCTTTTCACTGGGAAAGGGCTATAAGGTATTTAACACAGAACTTCTTGGGGTAGTACGAGCCCTACAGGTAGTAAGAAAAGCGGGAGGCCAGAGACCAGTAACTATCCTACTAAACTCCCAACCCGCCATTACCAGACTGCAACATAATTATACAGGGCCAGGACAGGCCCTGGCGGTCTAATCGCATATTATAACCCGTGAACTACAGGTTTAAGGTTATAAGCCCACTATTCAATAGGTCCTAGGACACGCAGGAGTAGAAGAAAATAAGCGAGCAGACTAAGTAGCTAAGTAGGCAGCTAGCAGACCCCTAAATAAAGGTCTGAAAGAGATATCCCTGGCCTTCGCCTGCAGAGCCCGGACGGAGGCTATTATAACATAAAAATAAGAGTAGCTAAACAGGGAGCTTAGCTAGCGATCCTAGCAAGCTCAACATTCATACAGGCCATATAAAACCTGGCAGAGCGATCCAATAGTTACAAGGGCCCCTAAGTGCCTAGCAAGTCGCTATTTTCAACTTAAGTCAGGGCATGCAGCTATTAGGTCATATCTACACCGTATCCAGGCTCGGGAAGATACAGTCTGCCAAGGGTATAGGTTACTTAAAGAAACAGTAAAACATCTTTTCTTCGAACATTAATAGTGGCGCCATCAAAGAAGCAGGCTCTACAGGGATCTGGAGGAAGCGGGAGTATTAAAACCTACTACTATAAAAGACTGTCCCGAGGGGAGACTCCTGGAAGAACCTAAAGCTACGGGAGCTCTATTAAGGTTTCTAATTAGTACTAGGGTCGCTCTTCCTCAAGGATACCTAAGAAAAGAAGCGGAATGAGCCTGAGAAGACGATAAATGGGGTCTACGAGCACTAGAGGAAGTAAAAAGAACAGGAGAAGGATAGCAGAAAGGGCAGCTTAAGCTGGCCAGACTACTCTAGGCTAAGAACCCATCCCAGTCTGATAATACAAGGAAAGTACTCCTTAGAGGCTCGAAAGCCCTGCGCATATAAGCGGTTTAGGGCGAGGAAAAAGATCAGAATATTTATAGATATAGACAGGTTCCAGGAAAACATCGAAGCAAGAGATCGTGGAATAGCTATAATACTTAAGCTCATAGAATATGGTCCGTCATAGCTTTAGGGCTGGGTATAGACAATAAATTTGATTTAATAATAATAATAATAATACCACCTTATCACTACATTTCTATATCAAGCCAATCCGGTGACAAAACCTCCTCCATCGCTCTTCATTACTGGTGGTGAGAGGAATAGTATTATTTACAAAAGATGCCCAGATTAAGGGCAAAGAACGGACGGTATCAGTGAAGATGAAGACTGTTCTGAATTCTGGCAATGAAGATAACAAATTTCTTGTCACAATTGTTGTGGATGAGTACATGATAGAGAGAGCCAATGAGTCCCCATTTGTGTTATCTGCCCCACAGTTCCTGTGGATATGAGTATAAATGACAGTTTACCATCTCGGTTGACAGGAAAGATGACGTAAGTCCTCATCTTCATAACTATGGTAACTAAGGTAGCTGTTGTAATCTTAGGCTGGTGCAAATCAGGAACAAAGTCGAGCCATGGGAAATAGTTCTCGGGATGCCAATAGGAATAATTAACTTATAAACTTCATTCTCTTGTTTTATATAGAGCTTCACATATTCCCTTTGAACCTAGAGCAATTAATATTTCTTTGGACTACAGCAGTAGCACTTGAAGACGCAGACGGCATGGTATTCCGGATGTGGAAAAGGACGGTGAACTTAATGATCATCAAATTCCATGCCATAAATTTCAATATCAATTTTATGAGAATACAATCCAATCAAATGACGTTCCAATTTGCAGACACAGTGCCCACGAATGGGCGAATTGGGTCTACCGGTTCGGGATGATCGCCCATTCTTCTGTGAAGTTTGAACCAACAGATTAATCTAAACTCAATAACCCAAGGCATATATGCCTTTACAAAAGATGCGTACACCAAAGTTGTTAGACTCAAAATATAAGCACTCCCAATAAAGTTAGCAGGAATTCGTGGCAGTCAAATGTCCACGGGTGAATGAGTGGATAATATACGAATAAAACATAGCGGTCACTCTTGGCACCTGGCAGATGATCAACTTCCACGGCCCCGAGACAGCTAATTCGATCCAATTCGATCTTCAAAGGTTTAATTCCCCCCACGATTGAGTTTGGCCTAGTCAGCTTTTCGGAAATCCACCTTGGTGATTATGCAACTTGGAAGAGGAATCGAGACAAAGAAAAATGTAAAAGTTTAATCGGATGATACCTCATGCGCTATTGTCTTTTTTACCACATTGAATCCGCACAGAAGATACAAAGATACCATTCTGAGGGCATTCTTATGTGGCTTGTACTGGAAACACAAATGAAGGAACTATCAAAGAAAACCTGCAACATGCCTCTGTGACTTAACCTTGTAAGAAGCCCAGCTGCTGATCCATCACGCTTCGCACAATCTCCTCCCAAGATCGCCATTGGATTCCTAGTTCGACTTCTGCCTTGGTTGTGTCGGTGGATAAGGAAGGCATTCCTTCAACCCCCTCCGTGATCTTCGCGCCAACATTGGGATAGGCCTCGAGTGCAATACGAGCCACATCTTTCCAGGTGGTTTGTGGCGCGGAAAGCAGATACTTTGAGCCATCCTTGATCTTCGGGTCCAATGCCTTGACGTGAGCTTCAGCAACATCTTGGATGTGCACTCCTGTGATGCCACCAAGTGGAACACCTCCCATCACACTACCCCAGAGAATGCCATTGGATCCTGCTTGAACTTCCTGGGCGGAGTTTTGCACGATATTGGTACCGAAAACAAAAGCTGGATGGATGGTTACCAATGAGTAGTGTGGCTTTTCGGTCTCCCGGAACTCCCAGGTGGCATTGTTTGCAAGCAATTTGGATGCCCGGTACAGAGTCATCGGTGTTGCATCAGGATTGCTAGGATCCACAAAATTGGCCTTTGGGTCCACATTGAGATTCCAATCATTATCCTCTGAGTGTGACGTCAGCATAATGAATATTTTTGGCGTATAAAGCATCTAACTTACCTTTAATGACACCACCTTCGGGTACTCCGGTAATAGGAACCAAGGAAGCTATGGACGAAGTAATCACAACCTTCTTAATGCTTGGCACTTTAGCTGCCTCCCGGAGCAAGGCCAAGGTTCCCTTCACTGCAGGAGTGAATATGGCATCCTGGTCTGTGCCACGGGCAAGAGGTGATGCTAGATGCAGGACATAGTTCACTCCATCAAGCTTGCCTCTAAAGGCAGCTTCATCGGTCAGATCTGGGATGGTGACGAATTCCAGCTGGTCGCGATAGCCTGCCAATACATCTTCGAGCTTCTCTGCTCTCTTGCGGACGCCAATTCGAAGACGATATCCTGCCTTTAGAGCTTCAAGGGCAGTGGCGCTGCCAATGAAACCGGTAGCACCGGTGATGAAGACCAGGGAGCCAGACATAGTGAGTATAGTATGATGACGATGATTTTATAAAGATTGATGCAAGAAAATAGGATATTTAATCGGTTTATATATATTTTGAAGATTGAATTAATTATTAATCGTCTTTCTCCTTCATTCTAAGGGTTTGAAAGCGGTTCGTGCTGAATATTCATTGTCACCTGATCGGTGACAATCTGTCCGAACCTAAGCCCACTTCCGGGGCTGTTCACTAGTCTCCACCTAATGGGGGGGCAAATGGGATGTTTAATAATCACGGGGCTCATGAGTGATCATGCCGAACCAAGACTGAACTCCAACTTCATTGCCTATTATTCAATATGGGGTGTCCAATGAGTAGATCACCGTCCAACCCGCTCATCTTGAAATCGAGAATCATCCGAAAGCACTACATACTTTGGGCATGTAGTGATACAGACAAGCACTTGAATGTTAACAGGCTTACTTAGACACTTTAACAGAGAACTCCGGTAGAAGCTTAATTAATGTAATGTAGACGTGGACAGATATACTAGCGGCGCGCCGTATTCTGAGAGAAAATGTTTTCTATTCTGTTAAGTGACAAAAAGAAATATTGTCCATTAAGAACATAAGCTGCACGCGGGTCACTAGGAAAGCGACTGAAGTTAGAACTAGACTTCCGCATAACGCAATTTGGGTCGAAGGTTAGGACCCAAAACCCAACCTGGACCCAACCCAGGCTGGGTCCGGGGCCCTAACTGGGGTCATAAACATACACAATGCAATCATGCTAAGACCCTTGAAAGCAAAAATTATGCAGTTCTTTGGCTTTATTTTTTATTTCAAGCTACACTTTCTGACTTGAGTTAGAATTTGAGGCTATTCCCGAACCCGCTGCGGGTTCAGGTGCGGGTTAAAGGCCTTGACCCGTATTACGGGTTTTGGCTCGCCAACCACACAGGCTCCCGGGTGCTTTTTCCACCCTACACATTTCTATCACGCCTAGCTAGCCTCCTATAGGATAGCTGATCTTCCGGCCACTAATTAAATTTTGTTGGGATCATATTTCAGGCTTTGGAGAATAAGATCATGACAAAAAATGATAAGAATCTCCTTTCCATATTGCTCACGGTGAGAAGTGAATACCAGCGGAGGTTCCCTTGAATACCAGCGGGTGCTAATACTATTTTGGTTTTACGCCGGGTATTATGCGTTAGTACAGTGGGTGAACTCCAGAGTTCAACGTAGACTATATATATATATAGTTCCACATGAAAAGTTATCATATTGTCTCATTAGTGATGGAGAGGTTGATAATCCTGCGTCATAATAATTTGCATAAACCGATTCACTAGAAGCAGAGTGTTAATGCAGACCAAGGCTTTCTTAACACCAGATTTGAAGTTGCCTAGTAGACGTATTGGAAATTAAGATTTTCCTTGTCAGTCAAGTCCTTGAATCCCAGCCTCTCACGCTCGGCTTCGTCCAGATCCAAAGACGCCCGTCGTTTGTTCTCCCGCGACCACAGGAAGTAAAGAACAGATGAAGTTAGGATGACTATGCAGTAACTAGAGGAATGTCAGCATTCTAAAGCACATTCCTTGTTACCGACAGACTTACCAAATGATCAATCCCGTCCATAGTTCCGGATAGTGCTGCGCCTTCGTCTGACTCCGAATCAACCGTGGCCCAATAATGTTACCGACACAATAGGCGATGAAGACCGCAGCGGCATTGAAACTTCTCTTCGTGTGTCCGGCAACATTCGCAGATCCGAGAGAGATGGTGAGGCCAACGACGGGACCAAAGAAACCGAGGAGCGAGTAACCTGCAACAGGCGTCACGGGCTTAGCACCCCAAGTTGACTTCCAGATCATAGCGAAACCTGCTATCACTGGCAGACAGCATAAACTGAGGAGAATGATGCGGATGTTCTTGATCTTTGAGCACAGCCAGCCGATAAGCACTGTCCCGACACCAGAGACACCACCGATCGGGAACTGGAAGAGGATGAGTAGCCGAAGGTTGATACGATCAGTGGACCGAAGCCGGACACGGCGCCGTTGACGGTGTATCTGATAAAGATCAGTAAAGGCCTGGGTGAGGTTGAGTGATGGGTACCCACGCGGCAGCCATTGACATTGATATCTAGCAGTCCCTCCTTGTTCTGGGAAAACTTGAGTTTGTTTTGCTTAATACCAGTTTGACCGCTCCTTAGTCTCTCCACGGCAACGATCCTCTCTTCGAGAGTCAGGAACCAGGCATTTGAAGGCGAGTTGGGGATGAAAAAGCACAGAATGCCGAACAAGAAGGTTAACGCGCCGGCAAAAATATATATGTACTGCCATGGTTGCAGAGGGCCTTTGACTTGGGCAAAGCCGTAGCTTACAACACCGTCAATTATACAAAACCATCCAGTAGCCTGTTCACAACATTGTCAGGGGATGGCCTTAGATCATTCGTCATCGATAAAGGGTTGACTCACCGACCACCACCATCTCTGTCTTAAAGACTGTTCAGACTGAGTATAGAATCCACTGACAGTAACCATGAAGCACGTGGGAATGATAGCCTCGGTGAAGCCTAGCGCCAATTTAGCAATGCATTTTTACCAAGATTTGTAACACCCAAAAAAGCTGCATACCTAAGAAAAAGCGTTGCATAAAAAGACCTTGCTAGGTGCTAACCCCAGCAGTGGTAGCACAGATGATAGCCTAAAGCATCACCATTGGACCAAGCACGTACCGCGAGTCAAATCGTTGGAGGGCGTAAGTCAGAAGATAGGATCCAGCCAGTTGACCGAAATAGAAGAGCGAAGTTGCCCAGGTAAGTCTCGAGGTATCAGTCATTGGTGGGCTGACGGATGTGTCTGTCACGGAAAACTTGAGATCTGCAGTCATTCCAAACAGAACTGCATTCTCAAGAAGTGCCTGCGCAAGTGCCTAGTAAAGTAAGAAGAATCTTCTCTAAGCATTAATTTCAGCAGAATGACTTAAAGCAACGGCTTCAGGATGATAATCGTGAGTGGATTACTACAATAGCTTGTATCTACACGAATGGGACCTCGCGGTCTCCGGGTCTTATATACCAAGCAGCCTCTTCAAAGCTTCAAGATACGTGGCTTCAAGATATTAACTCAGGCGAAGAGTTATATATATACCTTTCATCCTTGACCCGTGGTCACATCTCATGACCCACTCCCATTACTGTCACCATGTCACTATACATAACACCTAGATCGTCATGCCGTGACTCCCTCTCGCCTACTCTTATTGGTTTGCCTTCAAAGAAGGCCAAGACCATATACTCTCTTCCTCCACTCGCTGTCAGCTAATTTCGTCTGACTTCTATAATACCCGTCACTCCGCCTTACCCCTTCATTACTGTCCCTATGGACCGACCGAGTCCTCATCTAATGATTGCGGTGGCCAAAGTTTTGTCCTGAATCTTTGCCCGTGGCCAACGCCAGCTGGGCAATAAGAATGTAGTGAGTGTCCCAATGTGCTCTTCCAAGGAGGGTAGGGTTATCTATTGACACGCACTCAGCAGTGGCCATCAGGGTTTAGGCCTGTCGGCCTTCAAAATCACTAAGGAATCATAGGACGGCCGTCCAAGGCCCGGCCGTAGTGTTTTTGAAGGCCCTTCTCTACTTGGCCGGTATTCTTCCTCTTGCTCTCCCGTGCAATGAGGTCTTTTATTGCGTCTACGCAATGGAAGAGTGAAGAGCCACAAATCACCTCTTCTCCTCTCTCAGCTCTTTTTTTCCTTTTTCGTACTCAACCCTCCGAATAAAAAGTTTATCCTCCATCCTCTCATTTCTTTCGAGCCTCTGCTCAAAAGAAACTCAAGGTGGCGCTCCTCCGACTCCACGCTCACTTCTCTCCTGCTGGTCGCTTGCCCTGACGGGAACTCCCACGTATCTTTCCCTCGCTCTTCCTACTTTACTGCCTACTTTACTAACTACACTACTCTCCTACTCTATACTATATACTTTATTGGTGATAGGAATAATCCGGAATCTCCCGATAATATATTTGAAATAATGATAATAATAATAATAATAATATTGTTACTCCGTTGGGCTAATGGCCATCCGGTCTATCTGGCTATCTAGGGGGGAAAACCGGGTAGGGCCGAAGGCCCTACCCGGTGATAAACCTCTCCGCCTCGATAGTACATCTCTCGCTCTTCATACATACCCCTAGTACCGTTTCACTAGCCCCAGCCTCATTAACCCTCGATCAGCCTATTCGCTAACCAGAATTGGTTGACCACTCCTTCCCGTATCCACTACCTCGTTACCTTTTGTACCCCCTTGGGGGTGGTGAGCAGCTATTTAATATCCACCCGTCCTTATATCTCTAGGTCATGTCTAGTCTCGTGTTATACTTTGCAGAATGTGATAATATATCTAGGGTCCTCTCTTCCCCCGTTACACTTATGGTACGTCGGGGATTCCCATCCCGGCACCTTTACATAGTATAAGAAGGCTGCCAGTCTTACCTTGCCTGTCCGGAGTTATGTTAATACTGAACTCTCGGCCTTATGCAGACCGACCTGAAGCTTGAGCAGGTCCTTAGTTAGTCTATATCGGACTATTTCAGATGGGCTCCGCAGGAGCCCCTCTCTCTCTTCCTTCTATTTCTTTAGAACTACTTCCCATATCTTGCGCTTTTCGGTCCACTTCTTCGCTGCTGGCGGTAGCGCTCTATTAATCCATGCCTGGTCCCAGCCCTGTGGCATGGGTCTGTTGTATCCTACTCTTTCCTGTCTATAGACCGTTGGTCGGAAGGCGCTGTTTCCTACCCTTTTACATATCTGTTCTGTGAGTTCACTGGTTTCTCGCCTCGCAGCCCTTGCATGATACCCGGCAAGTTTTACTGTGAGGTAGTGTTCGATTGGTGGATGTATCTCCATAGGACCATAGCTAAGACACTCGAGCATTAATCATACAACCATAAAATATACATGAGATTAATCACTATCTAAAACCACCACTTCAGCCTCACTATTCCCAACGCTCTTGATCCTCAACAAATCCCCGACACTGGCCCCAGTCACAAATGCGCCGTCGCCCTCCTCAAGCACTGTATCCTCCCTTCCGTTCAGCTCTACCCTCGCGGACCCCTTCTTGCTCGCCGGCAGGTGCACATAAATGTTCCTCTTTCTCTTCTGAACAACGCCCTCCCCTCCTCCAACCCTCCACTCAAACATCTTTTCAGGCGTAAGAATCCCCGCCCCCATGACAAAGTCTGCGTGGATCGGAATCGTCCCGTCGACAACCGGCTCAGCCTTCTCCTCCTGCGCAGCCGAGGCATCAACGCCGGCCTTCAATGGCGAAAGAATAGTCACAAAGCCCTCTCTCTTCTCCTCGTCTGTAAAGGTCTTCGTGTGGTATCTCGGCACCAGACCCCGTTTCCACGGGAGCGCCCAAATCTGCAAGAAATGCACCTCTTTGTTGGATTCGTTCATCTCGGAATGCGCGATTCCAGTGCCACCGGTCGTGAATTGCACGTCTCCACGCTTCATGCGGTAGAAGTCGTTGCCTTGGGGCCCTTCGGCGCCGCGCTTCAACATGCTGTCGCGGTGCGTCAGTTCCCCGGAGAGAATGTAGCTGAAAATCTCGGCGTCGCGGTGCGGATGAGTCGGGAAGCCATTTCGGGCAGCGACGCGGTCTTCATTGAGGACGCGGAGGCTACCGAATTGTGTGAATTGATGTTCGAAGTAGGAGGCGAAGCTGAACGTATGATGGGATTTAAGCCAGCCGCCGTGTTCGGCGTAGCCGCGCTCGGCGGAGCGGCGGAGGGCGATTTTGATGTGTGGGATAGGTTTGGCCATTTTAAATGGATTCTTCTCAGTGATTTCGAAGTAGATTGATCGACGTAAAAGGCTTTTGATTTTGATGGGAATGATGAATATTTAAAATAGGGACTGGAGGCTTTTTATACTTCCAAAATGACACATGGATAGCGGCCTGACTAAGAGCGAGTCAGCATTAGTTAATAGTTAGTTAACTAACAATGATCGACCAATCCACTTATTTTCTCCACTTGGTCAGCATCATTCAGCCATGAAAAATTCAAATCCCTTTCATTCGAACCATCTGGTCGATGAACTTCGTTTCTATTCCCCATGGCTTGCAGCTACCAACATAGTAATCCAAGAATTCCAAATTGATGATGAATATAATATGTTTGGGGGGAAAAAAGCAAGAAAAAAAATTCCAACATTACATAATCTTCTAGTGGATACGAAAGTATATTCTGAGCTGACGGTAATTCACCAATACGAGAATCTTGACTAGATTGCTGAGCCTATATCGGAATCTATTCATAAACTTGACATACTTTGCCGAAGCCCCGCGAAAGAGTCTAAATCGCCTCCGAATAGGTCCAAATCAAGGGAATTATAGAGTGGATAAAGATAGTAAGGTGGTACATCTGTTGGAACGCACCCATCACCAGTGGGAAATGATGCCAATAACTGACCTTCAGTTATCCCGCCCCAAAGTTGCGCGAAGTCATCTAGCAGATTGGTATCCGAAAGAAGCGTCTCTCCAAGGTCACTGTTCTCCGAAGTTAAACCGTCATTGCCACTTAAAGTATTGTCTCCTGCGTTGGGGTCATGTCTATCGACGATATTGGTATTGATTTCAGTGATGGGAAGGATGTGTGAAGTGGTTTCGTCGCCGGTGTTATGCGACTGCTCGTCAGCAGTCATATGAACTTCACTTGACGAACAAGCTTCTTCTTCAATGCTGCGTGGTTGCGGTTGAGTGTCGCGACGTCTCTCGAGATATGCTGAAAAGCATTTCCATGTCTGACGAACTTCCAGTAGCCCACGCTTTGCCAAATGGTTGTCCCGATCTGACAAAAATCCTAAAGTATCAAGTGCATCTCGCAGACCAAACGGGACAGTTCTCTCGCATCGACTTGAAACGAGAGAATCAACGATTGCTGAAAGAATCATCACAAAAGCTGCTGAGAGGCAAGCATCGAAATCAAAAAATCCGAATATTACTGGGAAATCATCAGCCCGTCCAATAACTTTTAAGAATGCCCGCACCAAAACAGGCGTTATTACCGCTCCTGCATATATATGGTCCACCAGAGTCGATTGATGTGGACCTTCTCCGACTTTAAACGGCCCTTTGATCCTGACTTGCGACGCAAACCAAGCAAAATAGCTAGTCGCAGTGCGGTACTTATCTGGTAAAGTCTAAGTTTCATACTATCCCAAATAAGGTGGTATTCATACGTAGAAACAAGCTTCATCTTTCCGATGCAGGTTTTGAAGATAGACGGCAGCAAGTGCGAGAATCTCCACTCCGAGAATCCCATGTGTAATCAGTTGACTGAGCGCAGGTATATTTTTATGTGCCTCATCAAAAAGTTTCCTTCCAGGAGTATCACAACCGTTATCAAAGTCTCCGGCAAATAGCTTACCGACGGCGAGAACCAGCATCATTTCAAGGAGCCAGGGCTCAATCCGCCATCGGGCATGATGTGGATCGGCAAAGTCTAGACCAAGACGGTCGGAAAATTCACGAATATCGAAGTGATGTTGCGTATGGCCGATATAGAAGACAACGACCTCCAACAGGCGAGGAGATTCAGTTTCGGTGAGAGTGCTCAGAATGTGAGGGTTGAAAGCATCAGAACCTTGTACATTTGCGTTTGCGTTCTGCGTCTTGGAGCTCGACCCTTGAAGCAAACTCTGAATTCGTGATACAAATATATTCTTTGAGCTCAAGCAAGGTTCGGGTTGGATGACTGAGGGAGGGCGTTAAAGACAGAAAACAGATGGCACATCCTACTTACTCGACTCCGGGGAAAGTTGGGCATTCTCATTTAGAGTCTGCGAAGCCGTAGGTTACTCTACTGGAGAACCACCATTGACAATGCTGGAGATTGTCGGAAGGTTGAGCGATTGATCTACGTCTGAGTAAGAGTGGTTAGTTTAGGGATCCTAATGATGGCGATGTGCACTGGGGCGTTCCAGACCATGTGCATGCACCTACCGTGGGTTTGAAAGAGGGGTTGATCATTTTCATAATGTGCAAGCAGTTCGCGAAGCTTTTGGATCTGCCTAATCGACAAGTCAATAAAAGTTAATGCGCTTCGAAAGATGGGCTGCCTTACGAGATAGAATAAAGCCGCCGCTGGCCCTGCTCTGAGATCTCACAATCTAGTCCACGCTTGCTGCAGTAAGTGCATGGTGCTGTTCCCGAGCACCGAACCTTTTTCGTGCGACAGGTATTGCATCTAGATTGTCGCATTAGCAAGATTTCAGATTGCATCACATTGGTCTCCACCTACGCTGCTTTGGCAGCCTCCCTGTTTCGCAGCACTTTGGCCACCCTCGCCGCAGGTCGTGGAACGGAGGACTTCGGAGGCATTGTGAACAATAACGGACCCCAACACCGAAACTAAAATGGAGATATGCAAGCTCTAAGTTGATGAGAGGGCTGGCATAGGGGGTCTTTTCTCGGTGCTGTGGAAGAGTGAGGGGCTTCGGACCTTAGCTCCGGGGGGCGATGATTAGGCTGCCGCTACAAGGAGCTCGGGAAATTTCGTTGTTTCCCGTACTTAGGAGATATCAAGCTAGTACGGCTTGATAAGCAAGTGATGGCGCCCTGCACTTACTCGTTAGAGTCAAAACTTCCGTACCTTGACCCCGCAACAATGAGATGAACATTAGTGCTCCCAATTAATGCGGTTCCTGGGCCTCGACTTCCTATTCGAAAACCCCATGCAGCTTTTACTAGTACGGTTCAACGCCATTTTCAAGAACTGATAAAACAGTGTCCTGGGCAGTATTAATGGGAGTATTGGTCCACAAAGCCACAAAGTAATCACTACCAACAATTAATATCGACTCGGGTTGAAGGAGGAGAGATCCAGCAAATTTGAGCTCTATTGTAATCTTGGAATGAACTCGGGAAGGATAGATTGGGGTCAGACACGACTAGCATATACAAATGGCCTAAAAGCTCTCTAATCAGCATGATACTACGTTGGACTAGTCATACGGTCTTTTGCCTCCTCGTTCCCTGAAGATAAGGTCAGGGATAAGAACGATATGAGGTCTCGGAGGTCAAGACCGACGTATCTTGGTCCGCCCCCGCAGTCCGGGGAAGATGGAGTCTACCCCAGGACCAGATTAGGCCTAATGCATGATAATTATATGAGAGGAAACTCATCTAGTACATTAAGATCCGGATGTTATGATGTGTGGAGCCATTCATTCAATATCAGTGCCCGAAGAGCATTGCGCCAGCTCTGTAGTGAATTTCGTCCATAATGGTGTTCACATTCAATTCGGGAGATAGGTCCACGCCCCCTGAAGTTTTCAACAAGAAACTATTCTTAGTTGTCGTTGTTGCAACCTGTGGTTCGACCATTTTTGGTTACGATCTCGCCTTCATCAGTGGTGTCTTTTCGCTGCCCGCCTTTATCGACCGGTTCGACCTGGCGAATCAAAATGCCTATGCTATTCAAGCGCACATGGTGAATTCATGTTAGCTGCCCAGCTCCCGGTCTGTCAAGAGTTTCTAATAGATGTTATAGTTCAGGGTAGCGCCTTCTTCGGGGCGATGGTGGTCTACTTTGTGAACGAACGCTGGGGACGACGCTTCGCTCTGCTGTGGGCATCCTTCATCTTCAATGTTGGAGTAGTATTGTGCATGGCCTGTCGGGGAAACATCCCCGTCTTCTACGTCGGCCGCATCGCCAGTGGACTGGGCGTCGGGGCTTCTATATTCGTGATACCGCAGTATTTGTCCGAGTGCGCACCTCCTACTGCCCGAGGTGGAATTGTTGGCTGCCTATGGTTTCGACTCCATTCGATATGGCTTATATTAACTCTCTGCAATAGTTCGAGATTGGTACCCAAATTGGTACCATCACTAGATTTTGGATCAACTATGGAGTTCAACAGACGGTCGGTATGAAGTGCCATCTTCTAGGCGCATAGCTAACGAGGGTGACATTTAGATCGATCCCCAAGGAGACAAACAGTGGTTTATTCCGATCGCATTCCAATTCATTCCGGCTGGGCTGATGGCCTCGGACTCATTTTTTTGAGTGAATGTCCTCGGTGGCTCTACGCAAAACATCGGGTCACGGAAGCCGCTACGGCCCTTTGCTGGCTGCGACAACTGCCTTCGGATCATCCATATATGTTGAAAGAATCAGCGGCAGATGGAGTTAGAGACAGACCTGGCACCAACCGACAGTCTATGGGGTATAATGGAAGAGTCATTCACTCCGCGAATGCTCCCGCGGGTAGTCCATGGATGTCTACTCATGATTCTTCAGAATAGCACATGTATCAACGCGATGAATAATTTCTCTGTCACTTTCTTCAATGTGCTCGGGTTTCATGGAACGGTAAGCGCTTGCATAATAACAACAGGAGCTAGAGTTTGGCAGCTTGCCAGGTATTTTATTATAGTCCGCTAAGCTTCTATCTACTGGTCTTTACGGAATTGTCAAAGTCGTTGCGGCTACCATCACATTTCTCTTCCTCATCGACCGCTTCGGACGGCGTCTACTTTTTGCAGGCTCGGTGATGTGCGCCTTTTCGATGTTCTATGTGGCCGCTTTCTCATCTATCACCGACTCGTTTCACACTTCGTAAGATCCAAGCTCCGCTAGCTATTCGGCCGTGGCATTTATTTACATTTTTGGTGCCGGTTATGTATGTTCCACTATCGAGTGTATCGATATCAACTGACCCTAATATTATCCAGTCCGTCAGCTGGAACATCCCTTGGATTATCGCTGCGGTGATTTTCCCGACTCGGATTCTATCGTTCTGTCTTGTTCTCACTACTTGTCCTCAGTGGCTGGGAGAATTCTACACCTCATACGCCGTCACGTATATGTTCGCCAGCATTACCTACGGCACATTTATTTTCTTCGGCACAATGACAGTAATTGGTGGGATCTATGTCTACTTACTAGTGCCCAAGACCAAAGGTGTTGCATTGGAAGATATGGATTATCTCTTTGGCGGGAAAGGTTTGGCCCTGCAGAAGATGAGGCGGTTTAGGGATCGTCAGATGGAGGCAGAGGTTCTTGAAGGAAGAAGCGCGACTCCGACCGAGGAAGAATTAGCAGAAAAAGAAATCTCGGTCTCTTACCTAGTCAACCCCTGGATAAGGAAACACCCTTGGATCTTCAGAACATTGGTAAGACACTCCAAGATTTCAATCGAATTGAGCAGCTAATATATCTAGCATCGCTTCGCATGGGAACTACGGTGGCGACCAACGCCCTTTTAGAAAGACAATAAACCCAGGCAACATTATTTATCACTAAGAGGTTCAAGGTGATTGAGGTCATCTTTCGGACAATCACACGGCTTACTAGGGCATAGGATCTTCTCAAAATTGGAAATCAGTCTCGCCCGGAAATGTTCGCGCTCAATGTACTACGACCTAGTCTACTCTACAGCAAGGTTGTCGAAGTAGATGAGCGGGTCACTCTGCATGAGTCAACTTCCTATCGACGAGAGGCAAATGACGGCAAAATTATTACAAATGGCAATGCCGAACACAAGGATGCTGATGTTGTCACTGGCGTCTCTGGAGAAAAGGTCAGAATTATTCAGAAACTCGACACTACGACCGTTGCGGAGACGTTGCAACAAGTATACGATCAAGGTTTCCGCAGCGTAGCCATCTGTCTCCTTCACTCCTACACCTTCCCTGACCACGAGATGGTCATCGCATCAGAGGCAGAGAGAATTGGTTTTACTCAAATCTCAACCTCATGCCGTATTTCTCCCGCCATTCGCATGCTATCTCGGGCCAGCTCGGCGGTGACCGACGCGTACCTCACCCCTCAAATCCGAGATTATCTTAAAGGATTCGAATCCGGAGTCAAATCGGAAAGTCTTGCTGCGGTCAACTGGCGTATCATGCAGTCAGACGGGGGTTTGGTACATCCTTCTAAGCTCTCCGGTCTCCATGCGCTCTTGTCAGGCCCAGCCGGAGGGGTAGTTGGCTATGCACGTACTTGCTTCTCACCCGAAATTCCAGTGCCGGTGATCGGTTTCGATATGGGGGGAACATCAACAGATGTATCAAGATATGCAGGATCTCTGGAGCATGTCTTTGAAACTGTCACTGCGAGCATTCCCATTCAAGTGCCACAGTTGGATATTAATACCGTTGCTGCCGGAGGAGGAAATATTCTCTCGTGGCGTAAGGGAATCCTCACCGTGGGTCCTGACAGCGCAGGATCTCATCCTGGGCCTGCCTGTTATCGCAAAGGAAGGCCCGCAACCGTCACCGATGCGAACCTCATACTTGGTCAGATCATCCCGAGCTTCTTTCCGTCGATATTTGGACCGGAACAAAATCAGCCACTGGTCTACCATGCAAGTTATCAGAAGATGAAAACTCTTGGCCATGAGATAAACACTGATCAAGCCTCAAATCTGTCGGTTGAAGAAGTGGCGCAAGGGTTCATCACCGTTGCCAACGAAGCCATGTGCCGACCAATTCGTGCAATTACAGAAGCCCGAGGGTATCGCACTGGCGAGCACAATCTCGCGTATTTCGGCGGCGCTGGAGGACAGCACGCCTATGAAATTGCGAAGCAGCTTGGTATTTCCCGAGTTCTTATTCATAAGTATTCTGCGATCTTATCGGGATACGGGATGGCACTCGCCAATACTGTTCAGGAAGCACATCTCCCTTATTCCAAGGATCTGCCGGACACCGAGATCCTGAACTTGAAACCTGTCCTGGATGGGCTGCGTCAAGAGACTATCAAATCCATTATCGACATGGATCCAACATGTAACAAAACCCGATCAATCTACTTTTTGAATCTTCGATATGATGGGAGTGACACATCTCTTATGATTGAAAAGCCGGAAGAGAGTTGGAATTTCCGGTCTGCGTTCATCGCTCATCACCAACGGGAATTTGGCTTCACGCCGAATAATCGAGGCATTTTGATCGACGACATCCGTGTCCGCACGGTCGCAGATTCTGGAAATTACGTTACAGGGGGAATCTGGGAACTCGACGGCCTTTCTTTCCACGCTAACGAGCATCCTGTCGGGCACACTCCAGTTAGCTTCCCAGAGCTCGACATTATCAAAGTGCCGCTATACTCTTTGCTAGAACTGCGCGCAGAAGACAGTCTCAAAGGCACGGCTGTGGTCATTGACAATATTCAGACTATTGTTGTCTCCCCTGGAGCGGAGGTCAAAGTGCTCTCATCGATGTTAGTTATTGACCTGGCCCCTCCCTCAACGCCCTCTACGTATGAGATTGTCGATCCCATCAGGCTATCGGTATTTGCAATTCGCTTCATGGGAATTGCGGAGCAGATGGGAAGATCCCTGCAGAAGACCAGTGTCAGCACGAACATTAAAGAACGGCTTGATTTTAGCTGCGCGATCTTTTCAGCAGACGGAGGATTAGTGGCCAACGCACCTCATGTGCCCGCTATGCTGGGAAGTATGGCCTTTGCCGTGAAATGGCAAATTCAACATTGGGGTTCCAGGATCAATAATGGGGACGTGTTTTTGACGAACTCACCGAACGCGGGAGGTACTCATCTTCCAGATTTAACGGTTATCACTCCAATTTTCGATGACGAGGGAAAGAAGATCCTGTTCTGAACTGCATCGCGAGGTCATCATGCCGACATCGGTGGAATCGTTCCAGGGTCGATGCCTGCCACCTCCCGCGAACTATGGGAGAGGGCCGCGATTGACACCATCAAAATGGTTGAAGACGGGGTATTTCAGGAAGAAGCTGTTGTTGAAGCCTTGCTGCATGCACCTGCTCGCTATCCAAACTGTGAGGGTGCTAGGTGCATTGAAGATAACCTGACAGACATCAAGGCTCAGGCAGCTACAAATCATCACGGTATCAAACTTGTAAGCGTACTTATCAGGGAATATACTCTCCCTACAGTGATGGTAGGTTTTTATTTCACCCTTGTGTGAAATTCTGCTGATCGGAGTCTAGCTATATATGAGCGATGTTCAAAAAGCGTCTGAAAATGCTGTCCGACACTCTCAAGAATATCTGCTCGGTGAAAGGTCTTAATACATTCGAAGCCGAGGACTTCATGGATGACGGATCCATAATCAAACTGAAGATCACCATCGATGAGGCTGGGGGTGCTGTTTTTGACTTTGGTGGAACAAGCCCCCAAACGCACGGTCGGTTTTGTCCTATCTAACGAGTTTTCATTCTGCTGACGTTTTGATTAGGAAATTGGAATGCACCCCCAGCTGTGACCAACTCAGCAACCATATATGCTCTTCGATGCCTTGTCGCTTCTGAAATTCCTCTTAATCAGGGCTGCATTCTCCCGGTCCATTTAAAGATCCCGAAGCATTCTCTACTTTTACCATCGCCTGACGCCGCTTGCGCAGCTGGGAACGGTCTTACCTGCCAACGAATTGTAGACGTGATTTTCAAGGCCCTGGAAGTATGTGCCGCAAGCAACGGATGTATGGCTAACTTCACATTTGGGCTTTCAACGGCCAATGGGTTTGGATATTACGAAACGATTGCCGGTGGCAATGGAGCTGGGCCGTCATAGGAGGACGAGAAGAAAGTACATTGCCACATGACGAACACGCATCACGGATACCGAGATCCTAAAACGACAATATCCGGTGCTGCTGAAGGAGTATAGTTTACGGCCTGGGAGTGGAGGCAAGGGTAAATTTCGTGGTGGAGACGGCGTGGTGCGCGAACTGGAGTTTCAAGTCGACATGCACGCTGGAATCCTCTCCGAGCGCAAGGTGTTCCGTCAATATGGGATGACCGGAGGAGAGGATGGCGCCCGTGGAATGAACCTTTGGATAAAAAAGAATGGGCTCACTGTCAATATCGGCGGGAAGAATCAGTGGCAAGTCAAGGCAGGCGATCGGATTAGGATCATGACCCCGGGAGGAGGAGATATGGGATTCAGGAAGATGAAAGTACGCCCAGTGAAAGAGCAACTGGTTTGCCATCTTTTACACCTCGTGCCAACGGCTCATATCATGTTATGCAAGCCCTCGCTGTGACAAATTGAGAGGCCGTGACCTTTGAGAGTTTCCTCTCGGGAGATGCAGCCAAAAGCTCTTTTCGACTCCTATCCGGGATGGATGAGCGGCCACTCCAATATCTTCGGCCATTTCTCGGGGTTTTTGGATAGATACTCAACATAATAGCATCTTACTTTGTTCAGTAAAATCGATAGTCAGCATAATAAATTCCTGAGCGGCATTTGAATGTGGGATGCTCGTTGGGAATGCACTTTCTCCGAGTGTTTTGAATTATTTTGGGTAGCAGAATCGACGACCTTTCCAACATTCAAGGAGTTCTCTCCAGGGGCTTGGCCGCTACTCACTCTACTTCTCGCATCAACTCAATGACTTTCACGTAGTGGAGGTAATTGGCGGAAACCCGCGGGAGCCAGTTCTGGCCGCAGTGGGTATTTTCCGACGAGGACCCCAGGCCTAGACGTTTGATAATGCATTCCGGCTGGAGCTAGCCGCCGACAAAGGCACTGAAGATAGACAAGGTATGATAGAACGTGCCAATTCCCCAGTGTTGATTAGCTGGATATTCTAATTGGTAATGGGCACGGAGCAAAGTTTGTTTCATAGATGCGACAATACGTCCTCAACTTGCCATTTTCGGATCGATAGAATTTCAACAACTACGCGGCCACGCTCCCGATTTAATTAAAGGAGGCTTGATCAACGCCCCGAGCAACTGAGAAAGGCATAGGGAGTGTGGCTGTGAAAGTGTCCCACAGCTTGGCATTCGAAGAAGCGTTTCACCGGGGCTTGGCTTTGCCAGTAGGGAAGTGCTTGGCCGACGATCTTTTCCCTATGTCGTCAATTTCCAAAGAGACCCTGGGTCTGCTTGCGCACATAGTCTACTATCACATTCGTTGGACTAGCCCGCCAATTGCCAGATTTGTGGCCCGAAATCCCCGTTTGGAGAAGGAGACAAAGTGATTCCGCCAGCCTCTGACTGCCTGCCCACTGTGCTGATAGCCCGCGTCTTCGAAGATCAATGCCTAGTCTAACGGCCATGGTGGCTCTCCACGGTGGTTTCAGTGAGAGACTTCCTTCCCTCCTTGATCCGTATCAGTCGATATGGATCGTCAGTTCAGTGTATGGCTTTGATGAAATGCGTCCTTCTAGACCGTGAACACGGCCGGCTTCTGCATATATAAATCCCAATGAGACCTTCCTCGAAGCTGTCTATCTTCCATTCAAGCCTTTCTCTCTTTATTCTGTTGTACGACCGGTTCGTCGACGATTTTTCAGTCTTTCGCTCCAAATCTTGTTGATCAAGTCCATTCATTCGTCTTATTTCCGTTTGAATCACCCATATAATTCACAATGAAGTTCGAAATCGCCGCCGTTCTTGCCGCCTCGGCCATGGCCTCTGCTGCCCCGGCCTCGTCCAGCGCTGCGACCCCGTCCGTGACTCCTGCCCCCAGCGGAGCTGCTGGTAGCGGCAGCGTTACCAGCAAGCTGCCCGCCTCCTCCGGCACTTCCGCCCTTAGCGCCGTGAAGACCATTGCCGCCGGTGAGAGCTTTGACGGTGGCATGGTCATGTACGACCGTGGTGTCTCCTGCAGCGGTCAGGAGGAGGGTGGCGACAGCGATGCCGTGTTTGAGATCGAAGAGGGTGGATCCCTTTCTAACGTCATCATCGGTCCCAACCAGAGTGAGGGTGTCCACTGCTTCGGCTCTTGCACTCTGACCAACGTCTGGTGGAGCGCCGTCTGCGAGGATGCCTTCACCATCAAGGAGCAGGAGGACGGCGATACCACCACCATCACCGGCGGTGGTGCCTTCAAGGCCGAGGACAAGGTCCTCCAGCACAACGGTGGCGGTACCCTCGAGGTCTCCGGCTTCTACGTCGAGGACTTCGGCAAGCTCTACCGCAGCTGTGGTAACTGCGATGATATGCCCACCCGCCACGTCGTCTTCGACAACGTGTACGCCGTCGAGGGAAAGCAAATTGCTGGTAAGTTCTGTCATCCGTTGTCTTTTGTTCCTTCCACTAACAAGATCAGGTATCAACGCCAACTATGATGACACCGCCAGCATCCGCGGCCTGACCGTATCCGGCGTCAAAGACGTCTGCGTTACCTACGAGGGTAACACTGACGGCAGCGAGCCCGAGGAGAGCGGCTCTGGCCCCGACGGCACCAACTGCAAGTACTCCAACTCGGATGTCACCCAGGCTTAAATGGTTACTGGTCAATGTATCCTCGATGTTGTCGACAATTTCATGAGCTTGGGTTTGGAAGGATCGGTAGTCTGAACTCATAAACACTCATTTGCTTTGATCTCAATGTAATTTTACTATCCCAGTGAACAAGATCAAGATTTATCATCGATGACCAAATTAGTAGTCTCACTCACCTTCTTGTTATTTTCACTTAGAACTCAAACTAGTATTTTTTGGGAATCTCAAAAGTACTAGAGTATGGAGATGCATGGCTACACGTATCTAGCACTGGCCTCGTACATTCACTAGTTCGGTGGCCATTTACTGTGGCGCCATTTATCAACTGTCATAATCCTATAAAGGCTTGTTAGGGCGAGCAGTAGTTACAGGTGTTGCATTATCGTTTAAAGAAATGACTCCAGTCTCAGTTGAATAGAACAGCCAACTTACTCCGTATATCCTTGATTTCACCTGTGTGGGCCGGGGACCCAAGAGGGAGAAACAAGCTTTAACGCGGTATTAGACACCCTTTTGGTAGGATACACTCTAAAATGAATTGAAGTTTGCGATAAATGTCTCGATAGAAGGCCTACTATCTCGTCTGGGGTTCCTGTTTGGGACGTGAACAATGCAGGAATGCCAACTAGCCAAATATTTGCCGCAAGGGGCGGGTGTCAATGTTACTCTCCTCACATAAATCCGCTGCATATTCATCACAGGCACCGTCTCGTTTGCCTTTTGGGACACTAGCCCAACTGGCGCTCGCTCATCCCTAAGGCTTAAGACTTGACACACTGCGGCCGAGTGGTGATGTTGAAATTGCTGGTCGTAAAGCTAGGACGGTTAGTTGAATAATGTGGTGGCTTATTATCTTCGTCTCAATATGGTTATTTGAGGTTTTTAATCTTCATTCGGGCTGTTATAAGCACCGATTAGGTAGGATTTGTTCTCAATATATATTGTCTGCTTCAAAGCATTCATTAGGGACTGTGTGATGCTGAAATGTAGATATATTTTAGGGCTGGAAGGGAGCAGGTGATCGCGGAGATATATCTCCATCATAACAAATAGCTTGAATATTCAGCAAACCTTCTCACCTGCCAAGTAAAAAGACGAAGTACATAACATGACCGCTCAGTGTTTCTCTTATATCTTGAAAAGATCAACAAAAAACCAAAAAAAAAAAAAAAACCAAAGCAAAAACATACAGCAGCAGGGTGTGGCTTGTGTACAGTCAATAGGCGGGTGGGTGCCTCTAAACCGGCGACCCTGGCGATCGCTGGTGCCGTCGCGCGACCTCTCTGGTTGCCCCACTTCGTGCTCCTTGGTTCGTTAAAACAGCAGAAATCGTCAAATCATTGGTGGATCCGGTGCCTGAACTAGATGCTGCACTGCCATAGACATTTAGGCAACAAGATAGATTACTTTGTAGATGCCACTAGTTAACTAGTAGCTACCTTCTTACTCAGGAAAGCGGTTTGCAACCCTCCGTTGTCCCTCAGGTACAATATGCAACTTTTACACTGTGTAGGGAGTACTGTAAGCAGGGCTTACGAGAAGGTCAGTGAGACATTCTATAGTGGTAGCGACACAACTTAATTAACTACTGTACACACATCTTCTAATAATCATCTGAAAGAGTTTGTCTGTCAGTGGCACATCTAGTGAACTGCTGATTCATGCACAGAATATCTAGTCACAGCAACTAGCCAGGGTAGCCTCTTATAATTTATTCCATCTAATTCGGATAATCCAGCCAGCCCACCGACCATACTAGACCGTCTCAATCACCCATCTATCTATCTATCTATCTATCTCTCTCTCTCTCCATCGATCCTTGCCATATTCCCCACCTGCGCCCCCCGCATTCATCAGGAAATCCCAACTAACATCATGAGAGACCAGCTTCATATCGCTCATTCGCCTGCCTGATAAATTCGTCCCGATATTCTTTCGCCAGGTCCCTGCTATTGCGATACGCGTTTACACCCTGTTGGTAGGATTCCGGACTCCCGATCAAGGCGTAATATCCGACCTGGGTCATCACGTAATCCGTCTGACGGTCTGTTCCGGGGTTAATATTGCTCAGAGTTCGTGTCGGATAGGTCGCGTAAATACTTAGCGTTCCCTTCTGGAAGGTAGAAACGATCGCATAAGCGTGATTATCGTGAGTGGAATCATGGGCAGGGCCAGGAACAGGCGCAGGATCAGAGCAATTATCGTTATTCTGTAGTCGGTTACTGCTGTTGCTGTTACTGCAGCACTCTTGCGCATGTCTATATTGCTGAAGGGAATGCATCGCTCGGGCGCCCAAAACGCTATCATACAAGGCCTAACGTTCCAGCACGGACGGCGAGCCACAGTGGCCCTTTGTCTCAACGAAGAAATTAGGCGTGATGGGACGGTTGGTCTGCCGGGTGGGGATAATCTGGTCACTGAGCTATTCCCGGACACGAGGATGTAGCTGGTGAGACGGCACGCCGTAGTAAATGTCAGGTTTAGCATTGGCGAGAGTGCCGTTCGTGAGCGGCGCCAGATTCGTAAATAGATGATTGCTGCTATCGTGAAAGGACGACTGTTGCGGACCGTCGAGGATCAGAAGGATTTTCTTGATTACAAGCTGCTCATCAGAGGTCCTGTTGTTGAGTCGCTTAAATTCTTTATATTCTTTGCGCAAGGAATCTTCAGACAATGCGAGAGACGGGCGACGGGCTCGTAACCGTCTTTAAATCTCGGTAATATTTTCTGGTTTACAGACCTCGGACCCATCTGAATATATAGTATCGGGCAAAAAAATACTGTAATCGGTTAAATGGCTTTCAAAATGTCGGTTATAGACAGTCGTATTTCCGGTCTTTGGAGTTGGCCTCTTCGAGCTGGAGTCGGTAGGATCCATTGAGTACTGACTGAAATGGGCTGGTGCAGGATACTAGAAGCAAAACTTGCCTGGTTAGTATGCTATGCATTTATTCTATAGAGAAGCGTCTTGGAGGGAGGAGATAGAGTGACTAGACTTACGTTTCTGATGCCTGATAGATCCGGCCCTCTACGGCAGGAAAGTTTTTTGATCTCTTGTAAACAAGTAGCTGAACAGTTGCGCAAAAAATTTGGAGCGAAAATGTAAGGGTAAGGAAACGAGCTGCTCTGATTTGAGGATAGAAGATAGTATCGTCGATTAACTTCTCGTAACGCGCTCTTGGTTAACTACAGTTTTGTAAGTTTCTCCCAAAACAAGGGAGGAGGATAAAACGTGCGACGTTTCCGTTATCGAAACTGATGCTTGGAGAAAGGCATATAGAGATTCTGTACAGGTAAAGTAATCGAAGAGAAAACTGTAGAGATTAAGAATCCAGACCCGTTAGTGAAAGACATTTTATGGGTACCTAAGATAAAGAGATTACTGTGAAACAAGCATGATTAGTCTAGTCCCTGGTCTGATTAGAACAAAGAGAATGGGTAGCATTACTACAAAGTATCCCTTATCCTGATCACTTGATCGTAATCTATATCACTATCTCAATGCGCGATCTAGGTGCCATGCAACAGCTAGGATAACTTGAATAGTCGTATGCAGGGGCTTCGCGCCATAAGATTAAAGAGGAGCTGAAATCCGGCGAGATACCGTAAACGAGCAAGTAGATCGGAAGGCCTCGTGTGTTCAGTTTACTTTTCGGTACTCTAACTCTGCAACCAGGGTTTTGCCGCAGGCAGTTCAACAATATCGACAGGCAGGGAGACATATTATACTAAAATTATTGCGACCGCGAGCGATATTTTGTGGCAGGGCGAATCGGTAAACTCTGCAAATGCGAAGTAATGTTTCCAGGATTTTCTTGAGTCTACCTCTTAACTATCAGAAGACCTTATCTGAATATAATCAATTTTCCGGTTTCTGAGCAACGAAGGTATATTTTACCAGCTGTTTTTTGATTAGAGCCCCGCTACGTGAATGAGACAGACAACACATTTGCGTAAGACAAGCCACATATATGTAGACTCCAATAGTCTGTATCTGGAAGTTATTCGGAATATCAAAAGTCCCGTATATTACAAATACAGTATTTTACAAAACTATGTTACATACCTTTGTCGCATTTGTGCCTTCCACAGTAATGCAAACAAGTCAAAGAAAGACGGCGGTTCGTTAGTGACATTGCCCAATGGATGAAGCGACAAGTCGAAGCAAATGGCCATGAAGAGTAGTCGTCGTAATTTGTTCAGGCGTTATATAGAACAGCCCTCATCGGCATAGTTGTTTTCATCCAAGAGTCAATGTCAATTTTTTGCGGAATCTTTTATTTCTCTTCCATCTCAGAGTTCAAAGTACTCCAACTTTCTTCAAGAGCCAGTTGTCCCCAATCTTTCATCCGTTCTGAGTGCATAATCTGTTATGCTGTCGCCCTTTCATTCACGGTTGAATGCAGAACAGCAACAACCCTGGCAATAAGAGGCACGTGAACATGTCAGATCATGGAGCACCAAGCAAAGTACCTATTAATCCGCCCTCGAGATGGCGTTTGACTTCAACTTGAAGTTTGGCTTATTTTTATCAAAATACACCACAGATGGGTCAACACAACTCGAAAGCGTCCTCTGCAAAGCCGAAGGGGTCGAAACGCAAACGGCCTTCCAGTGCTGGACAAGGATCTTGGCCTTTACCAATTCTCACTGTGACATCGGCCCCCAAGGACCTGGTTGGCACATGGAGCGACTTTGAGAATGGTCGTGCTCAGCGTCGTGAAATGACGCTTACAGAGGAAGCTGTCAGAGATGGTATACCTGCTATCAAATGCTTTATATCCGCTCTGGCCACCCATTTTCAACATCAAAACTACTTGGAGCTCTTCTATGCCTTCATCGCTGGGTCAAATGCCATTGTGTACTGGGTTGAAGTACTCCAGGGCTCTTCGGCTCTTGAGGAGATCGGCAAAAAAATCCACCGAGAACTTCAAGCACAAACCGGCTTAGTTGCGCCTAAAGCTTTCGCAAGACAAGTGGACAAATGCATTCGATATGAAATTAATAGCACGCCTTGACAGTGAACACATCTACTTCCTCTATCACCCTGATACCGACTGGCATGCAGAATTCTTCGACCTGGTGAAAAACAATTCGTTGCCTGTTAACTTCTTGGGCTTGTCTGAAAACCTCGATTCCTTGTGTGCGTGGATGTTGTTCTTGCGACGACACCTGAACGGAAAGGCGGCAAAAGCTCGGTTTTACCTAGTCATTCCTGCCTATCGTCCGATGCTAGTCAAAGACCCTCTGGAATTTCCAGAAGAGCTGTTTCCGCTCACAGTTCGATGCGATATACATGACTCGAATCCATACGTTTGGCTGAATCTCCCCACTGTCGATAATTTGTCTTCCGATCTCCTACATCTGGATCGCATTGGGAACCTAGCGCGACCTCCAAGTGAATGGGAGGGACCTGCTGTTGCGGCCGCTGCACTTGGTACGTTTTTACTCGGCGCCGCGACTACGATTGCACTTGAGGGAGCGATTAGCGTGGCTTTTCCACCTCTCGCTCCGGTGGCAGCTATTGGTGGCATTATTGGAACCGTAGCTGCAGCTGATGGTGCGCAATCAACTGTCGCAGGTAGGAGATTATGTCAGAAGGGGACCCTGGAGGTCGGGGCAGGCGTCTCTTTGCAAAAATGGGCATCTTTATGATTAAACCGTTCGTGGTAGGCTGCAAAGTCTCCACGGCCCGTACGAGCAGCCAGGATCCGTGCCAGAAGCGGCCTTGGGAGCTTTAGCTCTGCCGGTTCCCTACAAGCCTTCTACATCACTCATTCGTCGCCAGTTTCTATGACACAGTCGTTTGAAACCACTTTCGATATCAGCCGATTTCGCAAGGCATGTGCACGTTTGACCGCTCATCATAGTATCTTGCGTACTGTTTTGTTCGGCAGGACGAAGGGTTCTTCCATGTGATCCTGAAGGATGTTGATCCGTCAATCGAGTTCATACAATGCAACGACCCGGAATAATGGGTGCAAGTGAAATCCAAAGAGCCATTGGTAGCTACAACAGCTGAATGTTCGGTGCCATTAGCCTTCACTATTGTAACCAACTTGACCCGGCAACAGTGGATGCTGATCATCCAGATTTCACACGCGCAGTACGATGGATTCTCCGTGCCGGTCCTATGGGAGGATCTCATTACTGCCTACCAGGGCGGGGGGTTGAGAGAGAGGACAATTCACGGACGTGATGTCCTACCGGCTGTGCGTGAAAAACCCTAGCTCATCCTTCTGGAAAGACCATCTCAAGGGGGGCCCTGCCTTGGCACTTGACCCCTTGAAAATCACTGGAATGCTTTAGTTTTCCATGAAAGATATTTCTGTGGAGCACACCATCTCCCGACCTTCACTTCTACCCAGCATAACTCTTTCCACCCTTGTGAAGGCGGCATAGGCCTGGGTGTTGGCGCGCCACGGCGACACCTCCGATATCATTCTAGGCCAGGTTGTACATGGACGTGGTGGCACTCTACTCAACATAGAGAGAACATTGGGCCCATGCCTGAATCAGCTGCGGCTACGGATCATGATGCATGCTGAATGGACCGTGGAATATTGACTGGCGTTGGTTTGTGTGATTTGATCAATTGCATTTCTACTATTTTTAACTATTATCCTTCGCTACTCAATAACACCGACACATTCATCTTAGTTTGTACATGTTACTCTTTACGTTTTAATATCCATAAATTCTAAATATTTGCACCGGAACCTGCAAATACCATTAGCAATGAGAGGATATATATCCACATTATGATTCAATCATTACGTCGGATTTTCTTGCTTACTCCCCCTCCCTCCCCTCCTCCCCCCTTTTTATGAAGAAATTAATCAATTACCAATTGACAAAAAGACCAAATTTCCAGTCCTCCAGTATAGATTGAATGCTATACTCCGTCAAGGCCACCGCCTACTGGATTGGAAGCACCGGGTGGCCAAGTGTGGCAATCCGGAAAACCGGTTTTTGGGGTCTGGGGGTTTTGGGTTTTCGGGTCTGGACCGCTTCATGTCAAGTCAACTTCCCACGCCACTCAAGGCACTCAAGACACACAAATGTGTAGGTTTTTCTACGCCCACCAACCATGACACTACAGCCTGAATTGATATGTCCCCGTGAAAGCAGGTGTGACTCGGAACAAGATCGGATTCGCGATCTGTCAAGGTGCGCTTTCCCTTTTCTACCTAACCTCGCCGAGGCCCCCACACGCTGATCTTGAAATCCCCCCCAGATACTACTGCACATTCGATCAAGATCCTCAAACGACGATCGGCCCTTGTCTTTCGCCCGATCCTACGCTGACTGCACTCACGCAACTCGGAGTGCATCGTTTTGGATGTGATCGTTCTTTCGTCTCCATCATCGATGGTCAACAGCAACATCTCATCTCGGAAGCAACCGCCTCGATTTCGTTGCGCAATAAAGAAAACCACCTTCCCAATGATGGAATATACCTCGGTGTCCGGACGCTCGACCTCGAATGGGGTGTTTGCCCTCACGCCATTCGTCTGTTCACCGGACAGGATCCATCGAAGATCGTGAACACGGAAAACATCACCGCAAATCGAACCCGGAATATCATCCGCGATTTCACCACAGAAGATTTCTACAAAGATCGCCCTTACGTCCTAGAATGGCCTTACTTCCGGTTCTATGCCGAAGTGCCCTTATACAGTCCATCCGGGTATGTGCTAGGCTCATATTGTGTCGTGGACAACAAGACGCGGACAGAGTTCGGAGATGAGGAAGTTGCGGCTCTGCAGGAGATTGCAGATGCCATCTCCCAGCATCTTGAGAATGTTCGAATTGCTCATTACCACCAACGGGGCGAAAAGTTGGTGAAAGGCTTGACAAATTTCGTCAAAGGGCACAAGAAATACGACCTCGCGGATAATCCCGCGCGACCTGCAGTGTCACGAGAGAAACTGAGTTTTCACAATCTGAACCCGTCGGATAGCGAAATTCACGCCCAGGAGCCTGATGCGTCACTCCCGACAACCCAATCTCTCAGTGAAAAATCAGCCTTGGATCGATCGTCTTCAATGACCCAAGATGAGGGAGCTTTTTCCCTTTTCTCCGAGACCAAAGACTCGGGCACAACACGACCGACTAGTCAACCGTCATCGCTTGCACCAGGCTCACCAGAATCAAGAGAACCGTCGGCCTCTGACAAGTTCTTTCTAGATTCAACCATGGATGAGGAGTCCACTACTGAACGTGTGGCTGCGATATTCTCCCGCGCCGGCCATCTCCTCAAATCCTCGATGGAACTGGACGGCGTAGTCTTTCTTGATGCTCGCGAAAGCGACTCGCAATTGTTAGTGTCTAGTTTCTCCTCTGCCGAAACATATGCTAACGCTAGGCAGTGACCTCTCCGATGCTTCGGGGAACGAAATTCTTTCATCAACCTACGAGCCTTTGGATTCTGTGAACGACCCATGGGATTGTCTTAAAGGCAGCCGCTCTGGCAAGCACTCGCCAGATAATCCAGAAATCCTATGTCGCCCATTAAACCATAGTCCAAGCCTACCACCGATTGAAAACCTGAGTCCGGAACCTGCACTCACTCTATCAGAACACTTTCTACAAATGTTGATCAGAAACTTCCCAAAAGGGCACATATTCGACATGGAAAATGAGACCGATACGCTGCAGGGGAAGTTTTCTCGCCATTTCGCATCTCGACTACCGGATGCAAAATCAGTACTTTTTATGCCACTGTGGGACTGGAATAAATCACGTTGGTTAGCTGGAACGCTAGTCTGGACGCATGACTCTCGCCGTGCATTGGGCATGGAAGAACTGCATTACTTCAAAGTTTTTGGCGATTCCATTATTTCCGAGGTCTCTCGGGTGCACTGGCGCGCGACAGAGAGATCAAAATTTGACTTCGTCTCATCCATCAGTCACGAGCTTCGCTCCCCACTGCACGGTATACTTGGAAGCACAGAGTTGATGCAATCTCTGCCCCTCCAGCCCTCCCAGCAGGATGTGATGAAAATGATAGAAAGATCCGGATTGACCTTGTTAGAGACGATTGATCATCTGTGGGCCTCCCTTCCTCATATTGCGATGGCTTTTTCTAATCGAACTGTTTATAGGCTGGAGTATTCTAAGATAAACGATTTGGCCACTAAAATCTCGGCTGACACTAGAGCTCAGGCTGAGATGACGGATCGAGACTCCGGTTTTGACCTTGATATCTTAGTTGAAGAAGTAGCCACTATCCTTTGCGCTGATCACAAATCACAATGTGTGACCGATCTCCCGGTTGCATCTTCTTCTACTAGGCCTAGTGCGCAAGTGCATCACCGAAGTCACAGTTACAGTGATGAAGTGTCAGTCGTCATACGGATTGAAAAGCTCGATTCATGGATGGTGCGATCCGATCCTGGCGCGTGGAACAGTATACTGACGAATATTATTCGTAACGCAATGAAATGGACTAAAAACGGCCTCATTGAGGTGACACTATCCCAAGTGAGGCCGGAAAGTGGCCACGGGTCTTCTTATGCCCATGCACGCGTCAAAGATACCGGCACTGGGATCTCGCGCGATTTCCTTAAGGACATGCTTTTTTCTCCGTTCACTCAGGAAGACCCACTGTCGCCTGGCATCGGCCTTGGTCTCAACATCTCACGTCAATTGGCCATATCCCTTGGCGGCGATATTGACATCAAAAGCGAAATGGGTGTAGGCACCCAAGTCGACATTCACATACCTATCAAGACTATTCAACCTGTCAACATACCCGATGGTCATTTATCGATCCCGCAGTCCCCCGTTTCACCCGCATCAACTGATGCATCCGTCATTGGATTACAGCTTCATCCAGACGTGGATGAAGTGCCCACGGGGATCTTAAGCATCGATGCAAGACGGAAGTTATCCATTCAGAACGCTCTCGAAGATGTGTTCGCGAGACAGTTAGGCTGGCGTCTGTCACCACGGAAATCTTTCGACGGAACGCCATATGATGTCGCGATCATTGAGGAAGCATACCTTAACCACATGCTAATCCAGGGTTTTCTACCTACGACTGACCCTAAGCAGCTTCGAGATTACTTCATTGTCCTTGGCGGAAAGATACTGCTCTTCACTGATGATCTGCCTGCAAATATCATCCGCGTTTCTCCACCGTGAGTTAAGCGAATATTTTCCAGCGATTTCACCCTAAACTGACACTATGTACAAGATTCGGACCTCGGAGTCTCCATGACGCTGCAGAAAAATTTCTGAAAGTCTTCAAGGCACCGCTCCATTTGGACCCGACCAATTTGGCTCCCATTTCCGCTTTATCCATAACTCACCCGCAAATATCATCTTCAGCAACAAACAAGATCTCTAGCACAATACCAGATCCCCCTGAATCTGTTGTCCAACCAACCGAGTCCTCACGAGAACATACCCGTGTACTGCTTGTGGATGATAATGACATCAATCTCAAGGTAAGTCTCCACTTATCAAATTTCTTTGGGCAGTAGATTACGCCCCATGTTGCAGTGTGCATTATCCAAACTCACTGTTATCCCTCAAGATCATGTCTACATTCATGCGCAAAATTGGCTGCCACTACGACACGGCTTCGAACGGACTCATAGCTCTCGAGAAGTATGAGAGTTCCAGCCAACGATTTGACTTCGTTTTGATGGGTAAGCTAGAATCCGATTCGTTCTGAAAACCCCTCTATTAGGTCAACCTATTGACAATATTAGATATATCTATGCCCGTGATGGACGGACTCGTTGCTACAATGAAGATACGCGAATACGAAAGGAGCAACGGAATCATTCCAGCCTGCATCATGGCTGTCACGGCTGTTGCCTCCAATGAGACACAGGAGGTAGCCTTTAAGGCAGGGGTCGATGACTTTCTGGTCAAACCGTTGTCCCTTGCGAAACTTCGCAAATCAATGCAGGTTTGAATTACTTGCCTTTCACATTGATTTTCAGTCATTCTGCCAATGAACACGCCATCGAAGAATGCCAGCTAGATCTATAAGATCATGACGGCTGCAGGGGTGGAGATATGTGTAGAATTCCTTCAGTTGCTGATGAAGCAGGATGACCGCTGAGGTCTACTGTGGGACGCAATCTATCGGGACTAGGCAGAGACCAACAAGCAAAGATCCAGCAGATCCTCAAGACCATACACGCGCCCTTGTGTTGGACGTGGTATAAGAAAGCGGGAGTATCATTCCTGGAGCTCCACTGCATTTTGCAGTTGAAAGCGAGGGCGCCAAAGGCACGTGGTGTTCAATGATGGCATAATTACTTATGCCAACTCGAGTTTAACACAAGTATATGAACAGTGTCATAGTCAACAATCTGGAAATAATTAATATTTTTCTCATTACTATGAAAGCACAGAGCCAGTAATCTTTTCTTCTGCCACAACCATGCCTCATCCACCCACCCATCCCTTCACCCCTTCCTTCACCTACTATTTATAAATTAGTACTTCCTCCTCAATTCCCCCAGAAATCAACTTTGTGTACTCCCCAATTGGGAACGCTAGACCGGATCCAGTAAGTCGCCGATACCTATAAAAAGTCATGACCATTCAGGTTTCCCTTAGGGGCCTAGCCTCAGCCTTAGCCTCAGCACTAACATGCTTCTCATTCTATCTCTACAGGAATGCCAAAATCGCACTTAGAAGCTTGATAAGCAGCTTAATGAGCAACCCGAACAATCTACTCCTATATCTCGTCGACGAGCTCCGTAACGCTGCAGTGGCTGTAGGATAGTTGGACATACTATAAGGAATTGCCCTAGTAAATAGCTTTATATTATACTACTGGAAAACCTTCGCCAGTTTTGCCAGCGACCCAGCTTACATGCTTAGGCCCGAAGAAAACTAGCTCAAACTAAAGATAACTTAACTATCATCTTATCAACCTTCCTAACTTTCAAAGGCCCCCGAAGCGCCGTCATGGCCTCGACGCCCGAGAAAGGTGCGGATGGGCAGGGGACCCCGACGAAGCCCCTGAACACCTGCAACAGCACCCAACAACGCAGATTCAAAAATATCATTGAGATCCTAAAAAGAATCGATACCAGTCTCTCAGCTCTTGAACACTCTAGACCTATCATTCAGCTGTTCGGTAAGCTGAAAATATACCTTTTTGAGTAGCTCGTCCCGATCGTTAACTGAGCTAAAAAATCTGTACATACCAAATCTCTGACTCTCTCTTTGAGCTCTGCTACATTCGCGTCCGTACTTGCGAGAAACAACGAGAAAACGATCCCGGTACAAGAGAGAAGATAAGAATTCTAGACGACAATAGCGAGGGCAGAGAATCTACCCCCCTCGCTGAGGTTGCCCAGAAGATAAATAGCGAGTTCCGAAGAATAGGCATCTAGGGGGGCGTAATTAAGGCCAGACAGTATGGTAAGGTTATTACTCTTCTCACGGACTCGGCTGCCACCAAGACCACGATAGAGAAAAAGGTATACCTCTAGAAGTTAGCTATCGGAGAGAAGACTACCCTCTGACCGAAAAAATGTATTGTCATGGTATATAGAGTCCGGATTAAGACAGTCGACCTTTTTGACCCAACCTGCATGATCACGAGGTACTTTAACTGCTACTGATACCTACGGGCACATCGGGAGAACATGTAAGACCGCTCAGCGATACAGATACTGTACAGCCAGAAGATACAATACCGAGGCGTACCGTACGAAAAACGACAAGGCAAAGGCAAGATGCGCAAACTGCAGAAAAAACTATAGGGCAGAAACAGAAGACTGCCCCAAACACTAAAAAAGAAAGAGAGAGTTAATGTAGCTATCGTTAACAGACCAATTCTCTACGCAATTAATCGTATAGAAAAGATAATAACTGTACTCGGTAAAAGGGCTACGGCCTTCGAACCAGAGGTACGCCCAGCTCCTAGAGGGAAAGAAAGATTTAAGGAGGCACTTGTAACGCTAAGAGATAGACAGATCATGAACTTCCTGTTCCAAAAAGTTTCGCGGAGCAACTCGCGCTACCAGAGTCTAAGGATACCAGCATGAAGGGAAGCCCAGATCTCACCCAATGCTAAGCCCGCTCAAGATAGTACAGTGCAACGTAAATAATAAACCAGATAGTTACGATGATACTTTTACATAATATCCGACTTAGCTAACTGTCGGTTGACTTGGTCATTGCCCTAAGCAGATATCCTATCGATTCAACTGAATGTAGGTATATGCTCGGTGG